CCCTTTCCCACTCCCCCTGCTTGTGTTCCCTCTCTCGCTGTGTCTCTCTCTGTCAAATAAATAAATAAAATTTAAAAAAAAAAAGAAGCAGATATGCAGGCCAGCTTCAGAGCACACGACCTTCACCACTGACCCAACAGCAAACACCCACAGAGGAGCTGAGGAAATAAAACTGATGGAAAACAAAACAAAAAACAAGAACTGATGGCATGAACAGAAGCTCCTAAAGGCAACACCCACATTATAAAACTTTTATCGGTATAACCAGAACAAGCTGTTTTGGAAAATAACCAATTAGAGATGAGGGGCTCAGGACCTGGTCTACGTGTTATGGCAAAAAGCAAGCCTTCAGTGTTGGGGCGCCTGGGTGGCTCAGTCAGCTAAGCAGCTGACTCTTGATCTCAGCTCAGATCTTGATCTCAGGGTCGTGAGTTCAAGCCCTGCACTGGGCTCCAGTGTGGAGCTTACTTAAAACAAAACACCATTTTGTCAAACTTCCAAGATTAATCATTTCCAGAAAAGATACCAAGTCCCAAAAATGTACAAATCTGTATCAGAGGTATGAATTCACATCCCATGATTTCATGAGCGAGACTTCATTATTAAGAGATTTGGAAAAGTCATCAAATCCAAGGTCCTGAGCAAGAAACCAATCCATCCACAAACTACCATCCCGTCCCCCTCTAGTCTGGGACGTCCTTTTTCTTTTGCAAGTGAAAAGATGAAGGAAAAAAGTAGAAATATCTTCTATCTAATAAATTTACTGCAATCCTAGGAAATAACAGAAATGATAAACTGAAATCCATGTTATTAGCAATTCTGTGTCCAGGAGAGTCCTAAGTATGGCAGTAGTTTGATGTCTACTTCTCAAAGCATTTAAAACACTGAAAAAACGCTCTCTTGCTGCAGCAACATGAGTGGGAGGACCAGGCGCTGGGCTCAGAGCACAACTCCATGGATCGCTTTAAGAAAATGGCAAAAGCTGGACACGGGGGAGATCGCCAGCTTCGGGAAGGCCAAGCTGGAGAAAACAGAGACGCTGGAGAAGAACACCCTGCCAACCAGAGACCACTGAGCAGGAGAAGCAGAGTGAAATTTCCTGGGGCGCCTGGGTGCCTCAGTCGTTAAGCGTCTGCCTTCGGCTCAGGTCATGATCCCAGGGTCCTGGGATCAAGCCCCGCATCGGGCTCCCTACTCCGCGGGAAGCCTGCTTCTCCCTCACCCACTCCCCCTGCTTGTGTTCCCTCTCTCGCTGTGTCTCTCTCTGTCAGATAAATAAATAAAATGTTAAAAAAAAAGAAAGAAAGAAAGAAAGAAATTTTCTAACAACCTAGGGGATTCCCCACCCTCGTCATCTTTGAGACCTCCCAGTCGTGATGTGGAGGAAGAGCCACCTGCAAGGTGGACACGAGTGACAAGCTGCACTGTGGGCCCGGGCACCCCATGCTGACACCACCAGCCTGCGGGTCTCTGAGGGGACCCCCCTCAGGCTGACTGCCAAATTCTCCAGTTTGCCCTGGGATATTATAGCAAATTATTTGTATGATTAATAAAAATAAAACATACTTCTTGGCAAAAAAAAAAAAATAAAACACTGAAAAAGCAGTACTGGACTTTCCATTTTAATTAAATATTCAGAATAGATGGTGATAAAATAAGTTTACAATTAACAGTTAAATACTTCGGGACATCCGATGTACTACATTATAAAATTTTACTTTATAAGCTGTGCAAACGGGGTACATATTTAAGAAGGCTGATGATGAGAGAATGTCTATTAGCCAATACACATACGAGATCGATGAGCAGGACATTAAACAGATCACACTTACGGATACCCGATCCACACACAATCTCCCTGCACTTAACTGAGCTCATCCACTGACTGCCGATGGGCTACAGTCGCGGGCACCATGGCCAGCTCCCCTCAAAGGGTTAGCTTTTCGCCATGCCAGCAGAGACGTTTCAGGACAAACAGCTCACACACTGGCTGGGAATCCAGCCTGGGGAACGAGGTAAGCAGACAATGGCACGGCTGGGCCCGCCTGGGCCTAGTCCCTCCAACGGTGCCCACACTGAGCACTGCAGCATTTGTAGAAGGTGGTCATCGGCTCATCTGCAGAGCGGGTCTGAAGCTGCATGAAATAGGCACGAGGATGTTCGCATTTAGGACATGGCTCTGGCAACGAGAAAAACAAGTGACCCACATTATTTAAAAAAAAAAAAATATGATGCTCATGACCAAACATACCTGCTAGAAGTAGGTGTCATGGAAAGGCAGCAAAGACCCTCTCCGGGCCCCATTCATCTGGCAAGCCTTGCCTAGGGTACCCTGTACCATGATTAAGGCTATAGTTAGTGGTATCATTCCCACTACGCTCTCACAACGAGGGAATCAGGGAGACCTGTGATCTGGAAAACACTCCAGCTCCCCCCGCTGGGTCCCATTTTTCTTCTCAAATCTGGTTGAAGACTGGCTGGAAACATAACAAGGAAAGTGATTTATGACTACCATGTGCATTACGGGGTCCACTCCCTGCAGATGCTTCTAAGTGCATTTCCATCACTTGGGCCCTCTCAGCCTCCCAGAGGAGCCCCCAGTGGACGATGAATCCACTTCCCTTTAAATTTAGGGATCCTTTTTGGCAGCAGTTCCTCAAGCTGTTCTTACAAAGATCTCACCATACATTCCACACCTGTGTCAAGGCAAAGTGACTTCACTTTGAGAAACTGCCTCTACTCTTGATAACACCTTCAAACACTCTCAAACACCATTTTAAACACTGGGTACATAATTCATCTTTTTTTTTTTTTAGCAAATTCTGCCAATGCTAATTGCACCATATCAGATTTGGATGTTCTTCTATAGGGGAAAAAAGATAACAGTAAACAGGAGTTGGCTCTTCCTCCCCGCAGTACAGGTGTGTTTAGGGCTCTCCTCTTTCCCTCCTTGGTCATGTCTACCTCTTTCAGATATGAAACAAGACGTGAAATAAACACTTGAATGCTCTCTGGCACTGACTTTTATTTATTTTTTATTTTTTATTTTTTTTTAAAGATTTTATTTATTTATTTGAGAGAGAGAGCGAGAGAGAGCATGAAAGGGTCAGAGGGAGAAGCAGACTCCCCACTGAGCAGGGAGCCCAATGTGGGACTCGATCCTGGAACTCCAGGATCACGACCTGAGCTGAAGGCAGTTGCTTAACCAACTGAGCCACCCAGGCGCCCCTGGCACTGACTTTTAAAAATCCACACCAGAACAAACAGCTCCTATTTCTTCCTTAGGCTCTTTCATTACTCCTGCCACCGTCGCATTATCATGGCTACCTCTTACGGAGTACACTGGATGCCCGATGCTGTATGACTCACTTTATGGGCTCACACTCAGTGAATATGGAATAGCCCCAGAAAGGGCAAGGGAGGCCACCAAGGTCATAGAATGTTAGGAGGTCACTGTGAGACTCTAACCCAGGCCTGCACAGCGCCGCGGCTTGTGCCAATATTGTCTAACAAATAAATTACTAAGGAAAAAATAAACACACTTTGTATTTTTAGAACCTCCCTTCCTCTCCATACATCACTGAGTCAAACACAGGCCAGCGGCCTCCTACCTCTCCACAGCTCAGTAACAGAAAAGGTTCCTCCTCACCTGCAGTAGAGTCAACATTCTCCCAGGCTGCTGCTCCGCCAAGCACATCATCCACTTCTTTCAGCTTTGGATACTTCCGATTTGTTACCTAACAAACAACAGCAGGTCTTCAGGCTCCAAATAAGTGAAAAGTAGAAACCTGGGCCACCAAACCCTACCTGTCCTCAAGTGTCTCCGCAGACTTCCTTCCTTCAACACAGACTACTAAAAGAATCCAAAGTTTCTACTCTCACAGAGCAGGACTCAACACTGGAATTTAAAGAATCCAGGTTTGGGATGCCACCCAAAAGAGGAAGATTCAGTGGTGTGGAGTTATTCTCAGAAAATGTATCCTAGGGGCGCCTGGGTGGTTCAGTCGGTTAAAGTGTCTGCCTTCGGCTCAGATCGTGATCTCAGGGTCCTGGGGTCGAGTCCCGTGTCTGGCTCCCTGCTCAGAAGGGAGTCTGCTTCTCCCTCTCCCTCTGCCTCTCCTCCCCGCACTCATGCTCACGCTCTCTCTCTCTCTCTCACTCTATCTCAAATAAATAAAACCTTTTAAAAAAAGGAGAAAAGAAAGAAAATATATTGTAAGCCCTCAGGAGTGATTGTGGAAGCAGCTGAAACGTCAGCAGCGTTCCTGTTCTCAGGCTATTGAACGCAATGGTCTGGTAGGAACAGGATCCCATGATCCCCAGGAGCAGGGCACAGGTTATGAGCTAGGGGCCCCCCTTCCTGCACCTGGCGTTTGCTCGCACAAACATCCCACTCTTCCCTTTATCTCATGACTGCCTCCCTGCAAGCCTGCGCGTAGGGAAGGGTACAGGCCTGCTTTACAGCTTCAAGCTATTTGCCATCCCGCTGTACTCCTTTCCCAGGCTTTGAGACTTCTGTCCTTGCTTTTCTGATAAAAAATGAAATAAAAGCTATGTGCAGAATCCAGCTGCTGCAGCTCTACTTTGCAGAGGCAGCCCTGCATGGCCGCTCAGATCGGGGTCTGAGAATTTTATTTCAGCGCCGTGACCACACGGCGGTGAGATCTCTGCAAGGACTGGATGACACACCAGAGCAGGAAAGAAAACCAGGTAGGTGTGACCTTCCCCCTTCGCCCCCACCTTTAGGATACTAGATTACCCAAGATAGCAAAACACAACTAAAGCCAAAGAGCACCACTTAGCTGGAGAGCCCCGCCAGAGGCTTTCAAAGCAGATCACACTTGGCTTTCTTCCAAAATTTTACCAAATATCCTTGAAATTTCAGGGTTACCTAAGAGTTCACTCTTCCCGCAGTTTCTGATCCTAAACTCCCACAACATTAAGAAGTTCTCTAGTTCTAAAAAGTAGAAGCGTGCTAACAAATAAAGATTACGGGAAAACAAGTTGTAATGATACCGAAAGCATTATTCAGGTACTGAACATCCACTACATTCTAGATTCAGACTAGATAGAACCTAAGAGGCAACAAAACGGAAAAATCCCTGCCCTCCTACACCTTACGTCCTAGTATTCATAAACAAAACACTTAAGTCGCGGAGTACACTGTAAGGTAATGAGTCCTATGGAAAAACGTAAGACAGGGAAGTCGGATAAATGGCGGGAGGGGCTGAAGTCTTAAACGGAGCAACCCTTCAAGTACAGACAGGTCCAGCGAATGGCATGGCCACCCAGGGGGAAAGTAAACTGAGCAGAAGGCATGTGCAAAGACCCCGGCAGCAGCGCCCCGTGCGCGGTGGGGCCCCTCCCAAGAGACCGGTCTGGCTGCGGACAAGGCATGCACTAGAACTTGGCACCAGACACGCAAGCTCGGAGGGAGGGGTCGGTGTCAGAGCCTGCTGGGTCCTGGGGTGCGCTGGGGAGCTGCGGAGGGTTCCCGAGCACAGCACCGGCTCGGACACGGTCCACCGGGAACGCAGCGCCGGGAGCCCCAGCGCGAGGTCAGGACCGGGACACAGGAGAGGCGACGGGGCGGGGCCCGAGGTGGCGGCACGGAGGGGGGACACACGGCCACATCCGCACAGGATCCGCACCCGACAGGCTCCGCAGCCGACCGCAGGCGGCGGCGAGAGCGAGGACGGCCAGAGGCGGACGCGGGGCTGGTGGGCGGGGAAGCGGGCTCCGGGCCCCACCCCTAACCTTGCGGGTGATGTTGTGCACGTAGGGGCAGGTGTTGCAGGCGAAGCGGTGGCACCGCTGTCCCTCCTCCACGATCAGTCCGTTCCCGCAGCCGGGGCAGAAGAGCAGCATGGCAGCCGGCTCGGCCCCGCAGGCTCCCGGCAGCCCCTGCGGCCGCCGGGCGCGGTCGCTGGGCCCGCCTCGAGCTCCCATTGGTCCGGGCGGCCGACCCACCCTCCAGCCGACCAATGGACAGGCCGATGTCGCGCTCCCAGCAACAGCTGCGGCAGGCCGCCTCGAGCTTCTCATTGGTCCTCGTGGCAACCCCGCCCCCTGGCGGTCCCAGGGGCTCTACTGCGGTCCCCGCGTCGGTGGGGCGCGCGAGCCGGCGGTGCGGGCGGAGCGCGGGAGCGGAGAGGCGCTCTGGAGCCGGCCGAGGCGGAGGCTGCCGTGCGGCCCGAGGCGCCCGAGGACGATGAGGACGAAGAGGAGGCGCTACCGCACTCCGAGGCGGTGGACGTGTTCCAGGAGGGTCTCGCCATGGTCGTGCAGGACCCGCTGCTCTGCGATCTACCGATCCAGGTGCGCGCGGGCGACGGAGGCCGCCGGGGCCGGGGTCGTTCCCCGCGGGGCCGTGCGCCGAGCCGCGGACCGACCTCGAGAGGCCCTGATGGGGGACTGCGGCCCAGAGGCCTCAAGAAGGCGCCTCTGGGCTCCAGCGAAGGTCTTACCCGGGGCTGGGGCTGGGGGGCGGGGGCGAGCGAGGCTCTCACCTGGCTTGCAGAATTTAAGGGGGCGCCCAAAAAAACACTCGTCGGGATACATGACCTTGTAATACACCGTTTTCCAAAGCTCAAAGGGCGTGTAAAAAAGGCTCTGGCAAACAAGACAGCGAAACTTCGCGTGAAGACGAGATCAGTATTGATGGCTTTTCATGTATCTACCTTCAGTCTGGTTCGGCACAGTCCTGTCTTTAAATCTTTGCTAATTTGCCCCACTTGGAGTTTTAAAGTTCACTTGTATTTTTTGTTAAGTTAGTTCAAAATGTTTATATTACTGTTTTTTTGGTGCCCTGGTAAATCTTGCACACCTGCCTCAACTCAAGCGTTGCCCTGGGCCTTGGACTGACAGTGTTCTTACTCCTACCCAGCCCCAGAACCCAGATCTGATCCTCATCGTCCCCTGTTTGTGTACTTCTCTTTTGCCGAGCTTTTATCCACTTTGGACATTAAATACAAAATGTGGGTGGAACTGGGAAACCCTAACATATAAGCAAGAAATCTGTTTCTTGTCCTTCAAAAAACATGGTATTGCTTTTTGGACAGTAACAGCTTGTTTTCTTTGGTTGTTGTTTGGGATAGTAAAGAGAGCCAAGGTTCCCACCTCCACCCTTGGTCTTTTTGTAGGTGACTTTGGAAGAGGTCAATTCCCAAATAGCACTAGAATACGGCCAAGCAATGACAGTCCGAGTGTGCAAGATGGATGGAGAAATAATGCGTAAGTGTTCGCCTTCTCCCTTTGGACCTTACAGTCGGAGCTTCCACACAGGCAAGATGCGGACATGGCTGCTCAGGGGGAAACTCGGGGCCATGTCCCAGGGTATTGGGCCAACTACAAGCCTACTCCACCTGGACTTGAGTCTCCGTCCAAAACAGTCTGGACAGAGCTTCTGGGTTCCTTTCGTGCCATCCAAGGCTGTGGCTGTGGATTCCCACCATGGCTGTCCTCCCATTTGTGTTGCAGCTGTGGTTGTGGTACAGAACGCCACAGTCCTGGATCTGAAGAAGGCCATTCAGAGATACGTGCAGCTCAGGCAGGAGCGTGAAGGGGGCATTCAGCACATCAGCTGGTAAGTGGAGTGGCAGGAAGGCCTGGTGGCGCATGAGTGCCTGTTGCATGTGTGCCGCAAAGTACTGGTGAGTTCTGAGTTCCCTGTCCCAAGCCTTCAGGCGTGGTGGGTGCCTCCGTGCCTGGGAGTCCTGCCTCAGTTGCTCTTTCATCTACATCACCCCACCTGGGCAGCCGGGTTTCTTAAACGGGGGGCATCTCGGGGCATTTCTAGTGTCTGTAAGTGGTCTCGCTAGCTGTCAGTGGCCCCCGCCCATCTTCACTTGGGTGCTCTCCTCACGCCTGTTGGGTCAGGTGTTCTGCTGTCTGTGTCTCAGTACTGCCGCCTATCTCGTAAGGTGTGTTTGGCCCCCAGCTACCCAGCACAGCCCTTGGAGCAGTGCCTCCTTAGAGCTGCCTCAGCCCATCTCACACACAGCCCGTGTCCCAGCTGCCCAGTGACCGTGCTTGTGGTTTACCTGAATCCTCATCTGAGTCTTGCAGGTCCTATGTGTGGAGGACCTACTACCTGACCTCCGCAGGAGAGAAGCTCACAGAGGACAGGAAGAAGCTTCGAGAGTAAGTTCAGGCACATTTTGAGCTGCTGGGAGGCATCTGGTCTGTTGCCCTCTAGTTCCCCAAGCTCGGCCAGAGGGCTGGGGCCTCTTCCCAGGAAGAAGGAGTCTTAAATCAGTTCCTGGGGAATCTGCGAGACCTGGGGAGTCCCTGGCTGGACTGATACCCTCCTGCAAGGAGGTTCCTGGGGGCCCTCCCTTCTGGAATGGGAGACCTAGGGGCACTGTGACCACTGCTCTCCAGGGGCAGTGAAGGGCTTCCCGGAGCCAGAGGAAGGCAGTGTGTGCGGGTGAGAGGCTGCCCACGGGCACGATGGGGGTCTTGAGAGGGTGGCCACTGCCACTTCCTCACCTTCCTGCACACAGTGCTCTTCCTACCCATTCCTTCTTGGTCCCTCCCAAGTTTCATGTGAGGAGTCCAACCTACCTTCTGCAGATCACACACTATAGCCCTCCTCCTTTTCCAGTTACGGTATCCGGAATCGGGATGAGGTGTCCTTCATCAAAAAGCTGAGGCAAAAATGAACCTCCAGACGAGGACAGCTCTGTGCTGGTGGCCTGTACCCAGCTGGGACACAGCTGAGCCCTAGGTCCAAACAACTGAATGATGGGGCAAATGGGCCTGGCCCTGTGTACAAAATAAATCTACTTGCTTCTTAGTTTGAAAAGTCAGAAAACCACAGTACCTGGGGCAGGAGGGACTGCTGCTGCCCAGTTACAGAGGGGAGGCAAGGGCAGAAAACGGTGCAGGTGAATCCAAAGGTCTAAGATGCTTCATTTGAGCCCCGTGCCCACACCATCCGCTGGCCATAAGACCCTTTTACTGTGGTTTCTACGGCAAGGGGAAATAAAAGCAGATGGCTGGCTTTCAGTGTGTGCTTGGGGGGAAACAAGGGCCTTGCATCCAACAGTATGTGGATGAGGTCTCCAGCCTCAGCTCACAGGGTTCACCTATAGCAACACCCTTCACCCTTTGGCTCCTGCAAAAAGAAGTAGCCTGTGGCTGAACTTGGAACTGCTGGCTACAGAGGGAGCACTGGGGTCAGGGTGCTTCTCCATGGGGGTGAGGGGACGAATGTGACAGCAAAGCCATGGGTTCTTCTATCATTGTCAGCTGCCAGTCACCCTAAGGAAGGGGGCAAGGTGCAGCCATCCACCTGGCTGAGGGGCTTCACTGGGAGGTACATTTGACACTTAGTTCCCCGTTCTGGGGAACTGTAAGTGGGAGGGGAGGGTGGGGAAGAGGCCTGAAGGACCTCCCTCCACAGCCCTAGCCAGAAACCAGAAAGACGAGGCAGCTCTGATAAGTTAGTGGCAGCTAAAACGCTCCCGGTCCATTTATTGGCCACATGAGGTGGTCGTCCAGAAACTAGTTAGAAGGTAATCGTGGGAACTAGTGTAATAAATGCCCTGAAGTACGAGACGTTCACCAGCGGTGAACAAGGCACAAGAGGTCAGTGTTCAGGAAATGGGCAGGCCGGCACACAGGGCTCGCAGGCCGAGTCCTGTGGCCTGTGAGGCTCGGGGCGGACAGCGTGCCCGGCTCTGGCCTGCTGGGGCTCACAGCCCCGGTGCCCCGGCCAGCTCAGTGGAGCTGGGCGTCCAGCTCGTACTTCTCACAGAACTTGTCAGTGAAGGGGATGCAGGTGAGGAACTCACACCACTCACAGCGGACGGGGTAGAAGTAGAAGAGGACCACCAGGCCGGCCAGGAGGCCCAGGAAGACCACCTGAAAGACGATGATCTGGCAGCGCTTGCGGTACAGGTCAAACTTGCCGAAGCTGATGTAGGGCAGGAAGGCAAAGGACAGGAAGAGGCCGCTGATGAAGCCCGAGATGTGAGCGAAGTTGTCGATCCAGGGCAGCAGGCCAAAGGTGAACAGGAAGAGGACCACAGCCGACAGCTTGAAGAAGGCACGCCAGGGCCGTGCCAGGACCTGCCAGCTCTGGAAGAGCTCCACGAACAGGCAGGCCAGGATGCCAAACTGCGAGCCGGCTGGGCCCACCTGGCGACAGTGTGGGTGGCTGTGAGCTGGTGAGGCTGAGCAGATGACGCCCACCCCCAGCCTGGACCCAGAGCCCCATCTCCCCATCCCGCCTCCCATGGCCCAGAGCGTGTCAAGATGGAGGAGCCAAAAGGAGATGCTCCCAGGCTGGACTCTCCAGGGACCCAAACCCAGTGCCAGACATGGACCCAGTTTAGGATGGGCAGCAGGTACACTCAGGAGGGTGCCCACCCTGGGGGATGCCCTTACCTCTGCCCGGTATGGCAGGAAAATGGCACTGGCCAGGTTACCAGTGACACCACTCAACAGGTAGATGATGGCTATGCGGTGCCAGCCTGCCAGCTTCTCCAGGTCCCGCAGGACGGTCATCTGGAAGCAGACGGACACCAGGCAGTGCAGGATCCTACGGGGGCGGCGGGGGGTGGTACTCAGGAGGGAGGCCACCCCTTCACCATCTCTGGCCAGCCACTCCTAGGGTCCCTGGGGCCACTCACCCCACCTATCCCTGCTCAGCCCACATGGTATCACTTGCCCAGCGTGCAAGAAGAGGGACAGCCACAGGCGGTAGAACTGGTCAGGCACCTCAGGGTTGAGGAAGGGTAGGAGCCCACACACGTCATCCATGCAGTGCACCTGTGCAGAGTGGCCCATCAGCACCCGCTGTGGCTGGGGGGAGGGGAGGGACACTCGCCCCAGAGGCCTACCTGCGAGCACAGTGTGGCCTCCTCATGGAAGTAGCCCCTCATGAAGTCACAGTACTCCCGGGAGGTGATCTCACACCTGGAAGATCAGGCCAGGGTTGAGAGGACTTGGAGAGGGGCCTGCTGGGGCCCAGGGCCAGAGGCAGCCGACTGCCACCCAGGCCCCTTGGTATCTCGGGTTATTTCCGAACTTGGTGAGGGAGAGGGACCGCAGGGCAATGTTCTGCACCCAGGAAGGGCTGGCTGTGCACACAAGCGCACCTACCTGCCCTTTGTGCCGATGCAGCAGGGCCGGCCCGTGAGGGCACAGTCCATGTGCGGGTGGTTGGTGTGGTTCCCAGCGCTGTTTTTGGTGCAGATCTGGGTCACAAATGGGGGAGAGCTGGGTTAGGGCCACCCCCAACCCTGAGCCCCACACCATGCTTGGGGATTGGGGCAAAGATGCACAGGTCCTAGGGTAGGAAACCGGCCTCCCTTGACCTCAGGCATGCTGCCACACCCTGAGACCGATGAGCCATCTGTCTAGTTGGAATAATGTCACTTGACCTCCCAATCTTCCACCTGCTTCTCCCGTTCTGGCTACCTGCTCAGAGAAGCAGGTGTTGGGAGGTAGACAGGCTGGGTAAAGGCCTGGGGCACAGCATCTGAATATGCAGGGTGGTCCCATGATGGCTATCTCTGGCATCACATCACTAATGGATGAAGTGTGGATTCCTCCCCAACATGACAACGGTGATTCCAAACAACCCTTTCACTCTGGCTCACCGGCCACTTGGTGATGTCATCTGGCCACTCGTGGGGGTCCTCTGAGGAGGGCTCATCACACACCCTGCGAACCCAGCATGTGGTCAGACCCCGCTTTATCTCCTTGGCATCCACACCTGCCCAACTCAACAACAAGGGGGGCTATACCCTCTCCCCCCACACCCCACAGAGCCTTGGGCTAAGGTGGTAAAGGCGGGGGCAGGCAGCAAGACTGACCTGGGGTCCTGGTGGCAGACAGAGCCAAACTGCCTCTTGTGGCCGCCAAAGTCTGGGGCACTGGGGTGTAAGGGCCACTTCACCCACACTGCCAGTGTGGACTGTGGGAGACACAGGGCCAACCCCTGGTCAGAGCCCACCCCTTACCAGCACCGTCAACAGGACGCAGGAATCACCCTTACCCACAACCCAATCTCAATGAAATTACACTCCAGAAATGTGCGGGCATGTTGGGAGACCTAACAGGATCTCAACAGCAGAATTCCTGTTAGCTTCAGAATAGAAACCACCAGTCCGGGAACTGGTATAACTACAGCAGCTCCGCACAAGATGATGTGATAAAAACCTGGATGGGGGGCGCCTGGGTGGTTCCTCTGGTTAAGCATCCCACTCTTCATGTCAGCTCCGGTCATGATCTCAGGGTCCTGAGACCGAGTCCTGCGGCCAGCTCTGAGCTCAGCGGGGGCCTGCTTCTCTCCCTCTGCCCCGCCCCCTGCTTGTGCTTTCTCTTTCTCTAAATAGATCTTCTTTTAAAAATTAAAAAAAAAAAAAAAACTTGGATGAATCTTTTTTGCTTTTTGGGTCTCTTTTAATTGCTTAGGGGAAAGAATACGGCACTACCACTCGTGTCAGAAACAAGACGCACACGTGCGGAAAGAGCGCCCCCAAATCAACGCCTGGCTACAACTGTCTGTGACGTGAGAAGCAGGAGATGGGGGAGGCAGGGAATGAAGGTGAACGGAAGGCCCTTGCTTTGAACCACAAACACACGGCAGCGGGGCCACCCACCGAGCACTCGTCCTCCGATGTCTGCACGCACCCCGACCGGTCGTTGCGCACGCAGCAGGCCGAGTGCTTCTCACGCTCCCGCGCGGCGCGGATAAAACTGTGCACCTGCGGGTCCTGGCGCATGCAGGGCGAGAACTTGGCACCGAGGTGAATGAGAGCCTCCTGCGGAGGAGTGGGATGTGCAGAGGTGGCCCTGGCCCCTGCCAGCCCAGGGTTCCCACCCTCCAGTGCCCACAAGGCCCTGCCCTCACCGAGCTGGGCCCGATCCAGAAGTTCTCCTGCTGCACATACTTGACGTTCTCATAGACCCCGCGGTTCCGCAGGACCTGGAAGGTTGGGGAAAGAGATGAGACAGATCCCGCTCTGGCCCTCTCCTCCCAGGGTGACGCAGGAGGCAGTTCAGAGCCTAGACTCCAAGGGTCTGGGCCGGGGAGGGTGCCAGGGCTCACCGAGTCCACGGTCTCATGCTGCGAGAAGCCCACAGGCGCAATGCCGTAGATGCACACGGCTAGAATGGTGACGAGCGAGTGCACGAAGGTGAGCCAGTAGGTGAAGAAGGGCCTGCAGGGTGGAGCGTCAGCAGAGGCAGCATCCCCAACCCAGAGAACCCGCCCCCAACCTGGAGCTTTGCCCGCTCGAAGCTGCAGACCACCCCCACACCCGCACGCCATGCCTACCTGTGGTCATCCATGTCCTCGATCTGACGTTTGACATAGCTGTCGATACGCTTGCGGTAAGTGCGGTTGGTGAGCCGGCCTACCATGCCCAGCCCGTACGGCCGCTTCTCCCTGGCAAAGAACTTGCGCACGGGCATCGCGATGCGCTGGCCCCGCCGCTGACCCGCCGTGCTCACTACCTCCTGCCGTAGCCGCACCTTAGGTTGCGGGGCTGCTGCTCCACCCTCCTTCTGCTTCCGCCAGCCTCGTTCTAGGGGCCTGGGGGGAAGGGGCGCAGTCAGCCCCCGCCCTAGACGCCTGACCTGCTGCAATCCCTCCTGCACGGGGCCGACCCTCCCGCTCGGTCTTGCTCCTGTCTAGCAGTGAAGGCTCCGTGCAGCCATTCAGCCTCCTCCCAACCAGTAAAAGCAATCCTGAGCCCCTCTGGGGTGGAAGAGGTAGAACCTGACTTACATGAGGTTCCCTGACAGTCTGCAAGTACTAATCACAACCCTCTCCTCCTCCCTGCAGGACTCCGCCCAGCCTGTGGGTTCTGGGATCATGTGCCCGTCCCGCAGGCGGGCAGCTGAGCCTTGGAGGGTGCCCGGTCCTGGGTCCCATAGCCACAGTGCACAAGCTGGGCTCACATTCCACAATCCTTCCCTCAGCCCTCCTGGGCACCAGTGTCCCAGGGCCCAGCCACTCCTGACGGCCAAAAGTCTGGCCCCCTGCCCTCCCCTCCCCTCCCCAGGGGCCAGCGGCACTCACAGCATCAGATGGCTGCGCTCAAGTTCACTGCGGTCCAGGGCCCCACCCGTGAGGTCGGCCTGCTCCATGGCTTTCTCCCAGTCCTTGAGCGCCGCCTCCGAAGGGGACTCGAACACCTCGTCTGGGTACGTGGACAGCTCCTCATGGAGGACTCCTTCCTGAGCAAACATAGGCGATCAGGGTGGGCCACGCAGACAGAGGGGTGGCGGGTGATGCCCCTGTGCTCTTACCCGGGCAAAGAAGGACGTGTCCAACTCGTCGGGGAAGTCAGCTGTGTCCTCCTCCAGGAAGCTGGCAGGAGTAAAGCTTCGGCGCTGCGCCCGGCGCAACGTGCCATCCCTAAAAGAGCGGCCCTGCCAGCAAGGAGGTGAGCATGCGGCGTGCTGGCCGCCGCGTTCCCAGCCTGCCCCGGCCCCCGCACCCACCTTCATCAGGGCCGCGGCCGCCCGGAAGCTCATCTTGGCCACCGATTCGCGCTTGCGTCGCCGCGGGAACCGGCTGCAGCCCGAGCGGGAGCTGGAGAAGGAGCAGAAGGAAGCGGCACCAGGCGTGACAGGCGTGTGCGGGGTACTCAGGCCATCAGCCGTGTCATCCGCCACGCGGAAGGCCCGGCCCCGGGCCAGGGGGTCTACGATCTGGCAGACGGAAGGAGATGTAAGAGTCCAGGCCTGGGCCGTGGCTGTGGGGGCCCCTTCCCCACCCTAGACCCCGCTGTGGAGAACATAGCTGCCCCTCCTTCCCACCCCCCAGCGGGTCCCTGGATGGCTGTGCAGGGGGCTAGGAGGGTCCCCGTCCTCACTCATGAGGCCTTTACAATGCTGTGCATCCTGGGATGTTCTCCCATCCTGATCCCAGGACCCTGTCCCCTCCCCCAGGCCCCAGTTCCCAGAGAGTATCTTAGGTGCCTTTCTGGGACCATGTGACTGCCCCCACGCCAGGAGCTTCGCAGAGTCTCCTGTCTTCAGGTCGGCCGTGTCCCCAGCCCCGGCCCAGGGAACAGAGAGAGGCTGGTGGGAGGCAGCAGGGCTGGGCATACCTTCTGCATGCCCAGCTGGCACGGCCCCACGTACAGCGGAGGGGGCGTCTCAGTGCTGGCCAGAGACACATTGTCCTGGCTGGGCAGGTCCAGCTCCCGGATGACCTGGGGCTTCAGCTTTCCATAGCGCTGGCTGCAGTGGCGGATGCTTTTCCGCTGCCACTTCTGGGTGCTGTCACTGTCCTTGCTCACTCCGAACCAGTCCGCGGTGCCCCTGCCACGGGAGGGTCTCAGCAAGGGGAAGCCAGGTCGTCCCCCGGCCCCGCCAGGGCGGACAACATGCCCCAACCCAAGCCTCCAATCACGCCCGGGGCCTGGGGCCTGGGGCCAGGTGTGCTGGGTCTAATTAAGAGGATGGATGGGTTCCGGCCCTGGCCACCCCTAAGCAATTAGCCAACTCCAAATTCCCACTAGAAGCGCAGATGGCAGGCCTTGCCCAAGTGAGTATTTTACACCGGTCCTCAGCCCATCCCAGAGAGGGAGGTTCATGGAGAGACACTGAGTCCACAGATGGCACGCAGAGCTCAGCCCTTCGCCAGAGAGCTTGGCCCCAGGCAGCAGCTTGACCTCAGACTCCACAGAACTCAGGCAGTGGGCACTGCAAGGCCAGGCAAGCTGTCCACACCTCTTGGACATGCAAGGAAAAACACCACCAGGACCTGCTGTTAGGAACCCCAGGGAACACCAAAGGCACTGGCAGCCCCCAAGAGATCGCAAGCCATGCACACGCCACCTGACGTCCACACACTCATGCCCTGCCCCAGGTACCTGAGCAGGGACCGAGAGAGAGAGCGGCGCTGTGGCAGAGCCCTGCGGGCAGCGGGGGGACCCAAGAGGGGCAGAGTGTGGACACGCCCAGAGCGCACCTGCCGGCTGTCCAGGGGCCAGGGCGTTGGGATGGGAGAGACAGAGAAGGAGACAGGGGGAGGTGGTGGGGAGCAGGGAAGGTGGCAGGTGAGAGCAGTTGGTCCCCAGAACAGGAGGAGGACAGGGTGACATGGGGAACAAGATGGAGGAGACAGCCGAGACAGGAGGGACCCTGGCTCCGGTCCCAGCCCCCGTACCCAGAGGGGACAGTTCTGCCTGCCTCTGCCCCCCGGCCCCCCAGCCCCCACGGGCGGAGCCGCCACGGCAGCCGAGTACCTGCGGATGGTCTGCGTGATGGACATCTGGCGCTGCAGCGGCGGCCGCCGGAGCTCATGGTGAGACGCGGGGACGTGGGCCGTCTCGGCAGGCATACTCACACTCCGCAGGAAAGCCTGCCGTCTCAGGGGCTGCGCCGTGGGGTCACAGTGAGGAGGCTGGACGGGGCACACGCCCAGCCCCTGCCCAGCAGCGCCTACCTGGAAGAAGCCGGGTTCCTCTGTTGCCGGGGGCACCACAGCCGGGATGTCCAGCCTCAGCCAGGGCGGCTTCTTGCGCTGCAGGCTGCTTGTGCTGTCCCTGCGGGCCTCGCTCATGGCGCCAGGTGGGGCACGGCAGGCCTGGGAGGGGGACAGTGATTCAGTGCTGACGGACCTCTCAGGGGTCACTGGGCCCAGGGAGGGTCCTGGCCCCGATGCAGCAGTCCTCCTCTGTGCTCAGCACCGATCTGCTCCGTGCCTGCTTCGCCCATCCCTGGAGACACCGCGGGGCACGAACTAGGCCCTCACAATACAAATCCATTCATGTCGAAAGAGAGAAATTCAGGACAAGTATTTGAGCATCTACGATGAGCCACTCCTAGGTGCTCAGGGACACACTGGTGGAGAAACAAGGAGACAAAAACAGACAAAATCCCTGCCTCTCTGGAGCTTACGGTCCAGACAATAAACCTGTAAGTACAGGGCGCTTGGTGGCTTGGTTGGTTAAGCGTCCGACTCTGGCTTTCGGCTGGGGTCATGATCTCAGGGTCGTGGAACTGAGTCCCACTCAGCACCGAGTCAGCTTCTCCCTCTCCCTCTGCTCCCCCCACTGCCCCGCCGCTTGCACTCTCTCTCTCAAATGAGTAAATAAAATCTTAAAAAAAAAAACAAAAAAACTATAGGGGCGCCTGGGTGGCTCAGTCGGTTAAGCATGTGACTTCAGCTCAGGTCGTGATCTTCGGGGTCCTGGGATAGAGCCCTGCGTTGGGCTCCACACTCAGCAGGGAGCCTGCTTCTCCCTCTGCCCCTCCCCCTACTTGTGCTCTCTCATTCTCTCAAATAAATAAATAAAATCTTAGAAAAAAAACAAAAACCTATAAGTAAGTAGAGACACCATGTTAACATGTGACAAGTATGATAGGGAAACATAGCACGTTACAGTTGCTGGGGCACGGATGTCTCCCTGGAAGGTGACATCTAGCAAAGACCTGAAGGTGGTGATGGAGTGAACAAGGCTGCTGGAGAGGGCAGAGTTGCTCCTCACACAGGGAACAGCCAGTGTGAAGATCTCAGCGAGTGTGCACACAGGCCAGCTGAGGGTCTCGCCCCAGTCTGTACATGGGGCGAAGCTCAAACCTGTCTGACCCAGAGACCGTACCCTCTTCCCCACCATGCCGTCTGCTCCGAAGACAGAAGGCCCCTGCACCCATGACAGGGGGGTGCGACCCCTGCATCTCACGGAGGAGTGGCCACGGGGCTTCCCCATCCGGGAGCTCCCACCTGCAAGGGACCTTCTGAAAGCCACCTGGGCGCAGATGCTGCCGGGACCACCAGGGGGCGTCGCGCACCCAGAAACAGACACACGGCGCGCACCCCCCTCAGCATCTGAGACACAGGGCGAGGGCCCAGGACCCAGAGCGAGGGCCCAGGACCCAGAGCAGAAAGGCCAGGGCTTGATGTGGGCCTCCACTGCCTGGCCATGTGACAGTGAGGCAACGACTATGTGACCATGGCCTCTCTGGCGCTCTACTCCCCGCTTACAAAAGGTCACTTTCAGGGCGGCTCTGGTTGCCCCTCCCCAAAGAAGGACCACAGGGTGTCTGGAAACGGGAGATCCAAAGCACATTGTGGGGCATGGAGAGCAGGGAAGTGGCTGAGCAAGACTCGGAGGGAAGAGACTCCAAAATTCCTCCACTGCATCCAAGAGCTAGGGAACCAGACAGACTCTGAAATTCGGGTTGGGGGTGGCACCTGGGTGGCCTCTGACTTGGGCTTAGGTCATCATCTCAGTGTGCTGGGATGGAGCCCCGTGGTGGCGGGCTCCGCACTCAGCTTGTCCCTCTGCCCCCACCACCACCACCAGCCCCCGCTCGTACTCTCTCTCTCTCAAATAAATAAAATCTTAAAAAAAAAAAAAAAATTCGGGTTTGGGAACCCACCCACAAATGCCTCTAGAAACGACCTCCCTTGCACTGCCTGAGGAGATGTAGAGAAAACCCCACCCCTGCCTTACAAATAGGCAAACTGAGTCCTACAGAACAGGGGCTTGCCTTACCCGAGGTCACGAATTCGGGTGGCATAACTGGACACAGGCCCAGGATGCTGCCCACAGCTCCTACTGGACTTACACAGAACAGGGAAGGCCAGAATTCTGTTCGGAGCAACTCCCAGCTCTTTACTGACCTGAGAAGGTCGACCTACACAGACCCAGAGGGCATGGAATGCTGCCCTCCACAAAACAGGGGCAGCCCCAGGTACTGCGCACAGCTCCTTCCGGCCCTGGACCCAACACTGGGGATCCACAGGCAGGGTGCCAGAGGGCTGGCCTCTCCAGGACCCCCCCCCCCCATACATTCCCAGCACCTCCAAGTGATACCGGCTGGTCCTCGACTTCGGAGTCCAAGGAACCTCTGGCAGCTGTTCGGCTTACACCACCACCCACACCCATGCCCCTACCAGTTCCCACTGCCCCCATGGCCTCTCCTCACAGCTCCCGCCCGCCTCAGGGCTCGAGTCATGCCCCGCCCCTGCACATGCATTCTGCCCAAGGACCCACAGCCTTACTCAGGCTGGCCCCACCCTGACAGATGCTCCCAGCCCTGGATCCCCGGGCACAGCTCAGGGCATCAGCCACGTGTGGGCTGTCCTGTGACTGCCGGGCCCACAGTGCCCAAGACAGGCCTGGTCCAGAGCCACTGTTCAGTAGACATTGGTCACTTCTGAGCACGGACTGGCAGGGGCCTGTCCTCACCATCTGGAGTGATGTGGGGTTCCTGAAAAAGATCCTTCGGCGGGGTCTGGTAGGAGTAGCTGACCACAAGCCGAGGTCGGGGCAGGGGGAACCCAAGCCAAGAAGTGGGAAAAGGGTGGTGAGGTACCCAGGGACTCAGACATTCCCCAGCCCCTGCTAGCCTGGGCCTACAGCTGGCCCCAGGAACACAAGAACCATTGAGCTCATGAGGAAGGCACCAGATCCCTGCCCGTGTGCCCAGATCTCCCGGGGTCCCTCACCTCCACCCAAGTCCTTCCTGTTTTTGGGGTGGAGGCAGGAGGGTGCTCTGTAACCCACAGGGCTCCAGGATCCCCACCGTGCCCCCAGTGCTGCAGGGTCCTGGTCTGCCCCAGCCCTCTGTGCATAGTTTCCCATCTGGGCCTCAAGTGGGTGGGATCCACAAGGGGGGGTGTTCCACAGTGGGCCCCAGGGGTGTGGGGGAGGGGCGGGCCCAGAGGACAAAGAGTCTGGGCTGGGGAGGGGCACCGCGCCCATCCAGGGGAGACAGTGGCTCAGTGTCCAGGCCTCCCCCAGGCACACAGTGGGCTCTTGTTCCCAGACAGCCCCTCAGGGGGGAATCCCAACAGCATCTCTGCTCTGCTGACCCCCTCGGTGCGGGAAGAAACGGCAGCCCCAGGGAGGGCCTGACTGCTCGGGGTCACACATCATCTGAGTCACTCTGGCGACAGTCAAGGCTGCCCACCCAGGGCCCAGCCCCATCAGGAGACCCCTAACTGGGCATCCAGAAGTGAGCTAGAAAGTGCTGACAACTGCTCAGCAAATGCTAAGGGTGGGGACCGAGCCCAGCAAGGGGGCACGAAACAGGGGCAGACACAACACCCAGGCACTCTGGGCAGCACAGGACAAGCGTGGGGCTCATGACAAGGGCCCAAGATGGGGCTGAGGGACAGAGGGCCCCGCAGAGTCACAGGACCACTAGGGCTGCTTTAAATGGATGGAGAGAACTAGGAGTAGCTACAGCCTCAGGGCAGAGGGCTGGGTGGGGGGCAGGGGCAGGTCCTACTGAAGCATGTGCCTGCCCTGGGGATGAGCGGGGACCTTCTGGGCTGCCACATGCACAGACAGAAGACGGGGCCAGGAAGCCAGGGGAGAGCCTGGCCTGAGACACCGGGCAGACCCTGCTCACCTTCACCACCTGCAAGCCTCAATTTTTTCGTCTGAAAATTAGGGGCCACAGTAGTGCCTGGCACACAGTGGTGCTTGAGAAGCAGCGGCTGAACCAAACGCCCGGGCTGGTCAATGCCTGCCGGCTCTGCGGGGCTCCCTGAGGGCAGCCAGAGGAGGAGAGGAGAGGGGAGCACGAGGCCCAGGAGCATGTACGACCAGAACACTAGCCACGGGAGGCACCTGGCCGTGGGAGCCTTCGGAGATGCCCAGTTTGGTAGGGTGTAACCAAGAGGCAGGAGGAGACTGGGGAGCAGGTGTGGCCTGCCCCAGCCTGGACAGTGGCCAGAGCCACTATGAGACTGGATCCTCAGGTGCGAGCGGCGGCCACCAAGGCACTCGGGCCTGCTCAGCCAGCTGGCAGGACGATGCCAGCAGCGGCGGCTGGAGGCTGCGTGGAGAGGCGGGATAGCCCAGCCCCAGGACAAGATCCACCAAGCCCCGGCCCCGCCCTGCCCAGGGGACCACCCACTGCCAAGGTCAACTGGAGCAATGGCCCCACCCCAGGACACCTGCCCAGGCGTGTCCCCAGCTCACCGGAGCATGATCCCAATGCTCCAGCCTCCACACTAGAGTCCTGACCTCTGACCCCCACTCTTCTGTTTGACCCCTAATCTGATGCCCAACCCCCGAAATGCCCTGCGAGCGGGGATCACTAGCCGAGTGGCCTTCCAGAATCCAGGCCTTCACCACCCACATGCAACCGTGTAGCAAAGCAAGTCACCTGGCCTCGCTGTGCCTCTCTGTCTCATGTATAAATGGCATCATGCTAAAAATGGTACTGGTTGGGTCCTCAGCCCTCCTCAACCCTCCCAGACCTCG